ACCTAAACATTTTGGTCAAACTACTATACTATTACAAGGACAAGGTTCCAATGCATCTTATTAAGGAATAAACATCAAAAGATAGTAAGATAAATTTCTCACAATGGAAAGTGCACGTTATCATTTTATAGAATGTCATTAAAAAGAACTAATCAATTAAAATCTATTTTAAAAAAAACTATTACAGTCTGTTAATTTCTTTCAACTTTAATATTGTAAAGTTGACAGAAACTATTGGAGATACGAGGTCTGTTCAAAAAATATGCAGACTGACGTCATAAAACAAAATGTACTTTATGTAGAAGTTACATATCTGGGTCCCCTTCAAAGTACTCCCCAATGCACACACTTATCCCAACAGTGTTTCCACTTGTTGAAATAGTCTGGTATGCTTCTTTTGTAATGTCTTTCAGTACCTTCGTTGCATTTGCCTTAATCTTGGGAATCGTCTCAAACTTCTTCCTTTCAAGGGTCTTTTGAATTTGGGGAACAAGAAAAAGTCACAAGGAGAAGGTCAGGCGAGTAGGGGATGGGAAGAACAGTGATCAAGTGTTTGACCAAAAACTCAAGAGTTCTGAAGGCTGAATGGACTGGAGCATTGTTGTGATGAAGAAACCAGTTGCCACTCCTCCACATTTCTGGCCTTTTGCGATGAATGGTGTCCCTCAGATGTTTCAGAACTTCAACATAGTAAGTCTGGTTCACTGTGGAGCCTTGGGGGAGGTACTCGTGGTGAACAACACACCCTTAGCATCAAAGAAAACTGTCAGCATCACCTCGACATTGGATCGAACATCGCAAGCTTTTTTGGGTCTGGGACGTTTCACCCACCCACTGGTTGACCATAGCAAATGTTTCAGTCGCAGATTTTCCAAGTTTAACACAAAATTTCACAGCTAGTCATTGCTCCATCAGACCATTCATTCCGAAATCCGACAAATGAAAAAAATCACACTTCACTAAAAACCGCATAGCTAATCAACAAGTAAAGATATCTGGAATCAGGAAACAGCTTTATCACCAGACGATCTGAACAAACCTAGTGACACCAAGCTGATTCCCCTGGAACCAACTGGAGCTGCACAATCCAAACACTTCACGTATTTTTTCAACAGACCTTGTATACTGTTTTGTATTTTCCAACATATTCATGTATTAGGTAACAACTAAAATGTAATTCTTCCATACTAAGTTTCTAAATACACATTAGATTTGATTTTCTGAAATTTTCTGCTACTGTACTAAAGTTCATTTTTTATTTATATTTTTAACTTAAAATATTTAATAATTTTGTATTAATCATAACAATAACTACTACTATTAGAAAAATTTTAGAAATCTCAAAATTGAGTATTTGAAATAAACTTTATTTTATTTAATTACTAGCTGCAAGGACCCGCTTCTGGGTTTTTATTTGTATGTAATATAGTTTTTTTATATATATAAAAGACTGTTTTTCTAAGTAATCTAGAATCTAGCTGCAAGGACCCGCTTCGCTGGGCAAAATTAACGATAGTGAAGATTAAGATAATTACATTATAGCTAATCTTACCCATTTTCACAAAATGCAAGAATTAGGTCCCCCATTTCCAGACTAATTAGAGAATTTTTACGTTTAGTCAAACAAACTATTTTCAACGTTTCTGGAACGTTTACAATCGTTCTATAATCAAAACAATATTCAAATTTTATGTTCGAATTAAATTCGAACAAAACATTCGAAATAGAAAGCCACTTTCAACCACTTTCAGCCTCATATCTCCCGCACCCTTATAGCTATCGAGACGCAACCACCCCTATACACAAATGGAGACTTGGGGCTACCACCACATACAAACACCATTCACGTGCGATGTATAGTTTTTGCAGAAAAGTGAAATATAGGGACACACATGTCCATTTTTATATAGATGTAGATAAAATAAAACAAATGTTTTATGGCAAGTTTTAAAACAATTTAAGTTAAACCCTGTAAAAAGATGTGCACCATTAATACTTTTAATAATGCTATTTGGATGTAAGTTCTCTCACACTAGCTAGATAGAGAAAGAAAAACAATTTCAAGAAAATAACATCTGAGTAAGAAGGAAAAATGTCAATGTCACAGACAGACTGAATTACCATGTAAAGCTCTGCATAAGTCAAAGTGTTTTGTCTGATAGACGTTTAAGTCAACCACGTGACTAGTGAACACGATTTTTTGCAAATTGTACAGATTAGCAAGGCTGATATCACAAAACCAGAATTTTAAAATTTGATATAAGGGTTGAGATAGGAGGTCAAAGTTTGCACACACTATCTATATGCCAATTGCTTTTAATTTAACATTGATCTAAGAGTGTTTTTATTTTAGAAATATATCAGTATCCTAAATCCTACTTTTTTGCAGTTTTTGTTTTCTATGCTGCACAGCTGTTTCATTTTAAAAACCTAGTAGGTATAGTTACACCTGGAATGTATTTAACAGGACAAAGTAAAAAATTTGAAAACAATTGCAAGTTGTAAGTAAAAGCATAAAATATAATGTATACAAAAATATAGAAACATGGCAAAAGCAACTTCATGAACAATATTTTTTTGGTAAATATAGAAAACCAAGATAAACTGTCATTTTTTTTTCTTTGTATGGCAAGCCTCCTTATGTAGAAATATGCAGAGAGCTTTGATAGGCATCTCAAATTTTCTTTCTTCTTTAAGACTACTATTGTAATACACAGCACATACAAAGTTTTTGAGTTTTAGCAGCAGCTGGTATCTGAAACAGATAACACAATTGTGTAAGATGAAAGAGATCAATGTGATGAATGACTACTTTTAGAAGCTAAAATTCTGTCATTTAGTTGAACAAATTTCAGATAAACTGTTATTAATTTTTTATTTTATAAAAAGAATCTTGTAAATGTTATATGCATTTCTAATTGTAGTATTACTTATATAAATAAAAAAGTTTTTTTGTACCATTTAGTCAATTTCCTCAGCAACAAAAGCAGAGTTTTGATCCATAGCATTTACTGTTTCACTCATTTCTATTTTATTTTAAAACTGTCAATTACATTACTTGATGATATGAATAGTTGTGAACAGAATCATTCAATACTCTGTTAAAAAAAAGCAAAGTTCTCATCTTTCTCCTATTTTTGAAACAATAATCCTGAAAATGAACACCAATTGTCTGCATACTGTTTATGTTAGTAGTATTGGAAAAAATTTCAGATAACACAATTTGCCTAAATATACTAAATTCTTTATAGGAGGAACAGCGCTCCATGTACTGTACATATAAATATGTATACACACACCAAACATTATGGTAAAAACTAAACAAATTTAAAATTTTTGAGAAAAAAAATTAGTAAATTTAAATTAAACAATGATAAAAATCAAAGAAGCAGGAAAAAATTTACAACCAAACATTTTTAAAAGTATGTATTTAATAAGAACAATTTTATTTTTGTAACATGACATTCATAAATACCGAATTTTCATTTGGTCAAATCACATTATATATTAGACATAACAAACATGTCTGTCATCAAATATCCATTATATTGCCAGTTTCTTTTAACTTTGTCAAGCACATCTTTTTCTAGTGCAACCTTCATGGCACAGAGCAACACACACATACACCCAGAAATCCATGTTTTCTTCTTTAATGTCTCTTACCTAAAATTTTGATAAGACACCACTTAATATATGACATTTATAAAAATATGTACCAATTATGCTTTAAAGTATGTCACATAATTTCTGTCTTATCTTCACTTTCCTTACCACTACTAATTACTAGTATATGAATATAGATGGATAGCAAAATTTTGTAAATAGATTATATGCACATGAATAAATGTTGATTTTGTCTAATAATGCTAACATGCTTTTGTAGGATTTTAATCAATCTTAAAATATAAGATGAAGCTTGTTCAGCTAACCAAGTACTAATTGCTTAACTGTAATTAACTAGTTGAATACTATTACTGTTAGTTTAAGTATATTGTTTCTCAAAGAATGCTTAGTTTATTTATTAGTTAAATTAGAATTAGCAAATGGCACTATAAACAGCCTATTAGTTTCTAAAATGCTAAACAATTCAGTCATTTTGTCTTGATAATAAGATGAAAGACAATACAAATGTTATAACAAACATTTCAGTTAACATAAAACTGGTTTGCACACACAATTGCATATAACTTATGAAATATATATAATAAATATGCCAAAGTTCAATGCATTGATACTAAACCAAAAGATCACCATAATTAATCTTGCTATTAATACAGTAAGTTGGACTGTCTCATTATTTTACTAAAACATAGATTTCCTAAGTAATTATTTAATATTCATTATAGATACAGTAGAATCTTGTTTTAATGAATCGTGAACAACAGTTTTTCCAGGTCCGCAANATTATTAATAACAGCATATTAATAGCCCAATTAATTACAGTGATTGTTTGGCTTAACTTATGAAATTTTGCAAAATTACAATAATACCCCCTTTTTATAGATTAGCATCAATATAATTCTGTAGGTGCCAAGTGTAAGTGTTAACAAACTCTTAATTAAAAGTTTAAAAAAAATTTATAGTAATTAAAAGTACATGTAAAATTATGAGACCATCTCAAGTGAGATATCAAAAAACTCATCGACGTTCATCACATCTACTGTTTTGTGTGAAAAATATGTTAACTAAGTGATAAGTTCATTTTCCTCTCTAGATAAATTTCATTCAGTAAATTTGATAATAAAAAAAATTTTATTAATAAATTACACAAAATTATATATAAATATAAACTGACATATTGCAAATGTTCTACTCTATTTTGAGAGAAAATAATTTGAAAGCGACTTTTTAAAATATCAGAGCTAGCAAACTAAGCAATTAAGAAGGGAATGAATATTTTAACTTGTATGGCATGCAAGACAGGATTTTTTTTTAAACTAGCAAAATTTTAGTTATGTTGTTTATAATAATAATAAAAAAAAACAAATTCATTAACTTACCACCATATGGGCCTTGTCCACGCTGATGAAAACTACTTCCGCTTCCTCCTCTCATGGGACCACCCCCAAAACTATTTCCATAACCAGAGCCGAAATCATCAGCCCATCCACCACCACCTCCTCCACCACCTATAAATTTAATATTTTATTATTAATGTAAACTATTTTTTTAAAAGTATAATTGTATGTTTCATTAATATCTATAATGAATGAAGATAGTTTCATAATTATTGAATTGGTTGTTAACTCAAATAATGTAACGAGGGAAAAAAAGGACTGTTTTGATAGGATTTCAATATACAAAACAGTGGGAAAACTAAATCCTAGACCACCAGAGATGATGAATTGTGACAAACAAACAATTGCAACAGTGGCTTTGTCCACAATCCAGAAATGGCTGGAAGCCTCACTACAGAAATCTCTCTTCCTGTATCATTGACAGATGACTAAAAGAGGCAAATTTAAATGCACCTATTAACACTGCCATTAGCAGCTTTGTTTGCATTAGTGCAGTGACAAAAAACAATTACTTACCATAATCTGTAGCAAACTATCTTTACCAGTAAATCCTCGTTCTATTTGGGAATGGATGAGCACAATGAAGGACCATTGGGGAGTGTTTCAATTCTGCTTTTATATTGAGTGATACACAGTCCCCTTACTAAAATTCTGATCTGGGAGGCCATTATTTATAAGTCAATTATTAATAGCATAGCAGTATGTTCAGGAAATCTTGCATCTATACACCAACCAATGCCAATTATTATTGGGCTAGAAATGGCCATAATATTAATAATTTATAACAATTTTTAGTAGTTCTAAATTATTCAATTAAAACTATAATTATTAAATTTATCAAGAGGTGGTGCCTAATGCCTAACTCTAGTGCCATAATGTCTTATAAATTATTAATATTATAGCTGTTTCTAGATCAATAATATTCAGCATTGGATGGTGTATTGCTTTAAAATTTATTGGGTTTAGTGATGATGTTTGTTTAAATCTTGCATCCTCATATGTTACCTTTCGCAGCATAAAAACAAAGCCATTTTCCAACAAATACTCAGTCACAAATGGCTAGGGTTCCTGGGCATGGCTCAATTATGTTATCACACTTCCTTGGCTTGCATAGTCATGAGATTTGTTGCCTATTGAGCATTTTTGATACCAGATAGAATGCTAGCTTTGGCCATCTATGAGTATAAGAAATCAATACCGACTGTTAAAACAGCAAATTATTGTAGGATAAAATACAGTGTCTGTATGCTTAAGACTTGCACATCTAGCAGAATATAACACATTGCTTTTATTACTGAATTTTGTCCATATGTTAGACTGCCTCTAGTCAAAAACTTGTTTCTGAAAATTCTAAGTCAAAACTAGGATTTTTAAGTTGTACTCATCATTCCACAGGAAATTGTCTGTTTATAATGATATTGTAATCACATGAGTTATTAATATAGCCATTACATTCACATTACAGTAGAACCTCGAAAACTTGGATCTTGATAACCCGGCACTCCGGATAACTCGGCCACACCCTGGCAGGGCAAAAAAATCCTTAGTTAATTAATTTTCATTATAGACAGCTTTATACAAGTATAAAAGCTCTCATAAAGTATTTTTCTGAGGTCTGTCTTATCAGGTAAATTACTGTACACAGTGTATTCATTAATTTTCATTTTCATGTAGTAAAGGCTCTATGCCTTCATAAAGGA